TACGAAAAAAAAAAAAAGTTGAATAGGTGTTCCGGACAAGTGGTTATCTGCAAACCAGATTGCAAAGTTTGCTTTCTGATTTTTCAGCTAATCTGACGACAATCCAACTTTTACTGAAAAGATTTTAAACGAAATTATATTAATTCTATAAGTGACAATTTCAAAATTGGACTTTACAAAGATGAAATGAAGAAAAACATGGAAGGGTAGAATTTTCCAAGAGGTAATGTATAAAAGTGATTGAATCGAAGTGTAATTACTTTGAACTATCTCTACCTTTGATCATTCGCTCAAAATATTGTACGTGTCTCTGGGTAAAAATGAAGTTCGATCTGATTTTGTATGCAGGTCAACGTTGACTTTGATCTCGAGCGTTGAAGGGTTGTCAAATCGTTAGTGTGATTGTTAGTGTGAAAGTGGACACGCAATGATGAAGTGAAGTATAAATATTTGGTGCGGCGTGGGCGTAAATAGAGTTGCCACTATCTTCAATAATTTACGTAATCAATAGAGATTGTTGGCGATAAAAAAGTTTCGGAGCGACTGGAGGCGGCGTGCGCTGCTGGAAAATGCCTCCCCGAAGAATTGCTTTGGAGCTAATGGTGCGATCGGATAGGGCGCAAGATTTCGAGCGGACACTCCGCATCATTAACTCCCATTATCTGAACTAGGACCACCACCACCACCTCCATCCCAGAGGTCCCAGGCGCATCCACCGCCCATTTCGAAAATACTCTGCACACACGTCCCAACCGCTACGGTTTCAAAAGGCCCCGATGCCACTTTAACAGTGATTGGTTAACCGGTCACTGCTCACATCGATTTCCCATTCCCATTGCACCTAATTGCTCTGACACGCTATTATGTCGCCCTGCTTGAATACCTGGGATTCCGGTGCATTAACTAATTGCCGCATCGTTGTTTTTCACCTGCAACTCCATCCGCTTCTCTTCCCGCAAATCCTCTTCTTTATTCAGTTTCACCACAGACTCCATCTAACTTTCGACCAATTTCGATCGATCGTAAACTGCAAACACGTTTTACAAGAATACACAATTACCACTTTGACAACAAATGTCATTAGTGTCAAATTATGTACAAATAATATAAATTATTTCAAAGAAAAAATTTCACAATTTATTCAATTAGTTTCATTTCAGATTTGATTTAACTTTGAACTAAATTCAATCCATCGTTAGGAAAAGACAAGTTTCACAATAATTACCACACAATTAGCACTTTGACAACAAATGTCATTAGTGTCAAATTGTATAGAAACGCAACGTATAATCTCCATTACAACAGCGAAAATGTGTATAAATATTAACAATTTTGCATCTTTCTCTTCGTCATCCATGGTCAAATTCAATGAATTTAACTTCAGATTTGTCCCAATTTTGAACTAAATTCAATCGACCGTTAGTAAAAGACAGGTTTGACAAAAATACATAATTACCACTTTGACAACAAATGTCATTAGTGTCAAATTATATACAAAAGCCTGCTGTGATCTAATTTATTTCAGAGATTTTGTTTCTATATCCACAATTTATTCAATTAGTCTCATTTCAGATTTGATTTAGACTTGTTCTAATTTTGTCCTAATTCAATCGATCTTTAGCAAAAGATACGTTTCACAAAAATTCTTAACCTTTTTATACTTTAACAGCAAATATCATTATACCAAATTACATATAAAATGATCGTAGTAGTATTAAAATTATAGAGAAACGCCTACTATAATCTATTTTATTTCAACAATACTTTAAATATTCTATTTACAATTATGTTTGAAATCTAAATTTCAACGAGTGCGCAACAAAATCATTGATTTTTCAAGTCATACGAAACCTTAGCTTTATCAGTGGATAATTTACCGATTGTTAGAAATAGGAACAAAAACACACATTAGAATCTTTATTATAATTCAACTTTAAAAGTAAACTTTAGTAAATTTAGTTACTAAAATTGTTAATTTGATAAATCTTAATCCAAATATTAAGATTAACTTTTTAAGTTTAGTTTAAAAAAAAACAATAGATGGCGTAAGGCTAAAGTGCATTTAAAAGCGGTTGTATGTTAGTTCAAAATTGTATTTAAGACTTACTAAGGAAATGGTAGCTAATTATTTTGGGTTCATCGATTTCTGAGCAAAAGGTAATTATTGGCAGTAGTGTGCGCGTGTTATTTTCGTTGCTTTGCGCAAAAAAAAAAACAAAAAAGTTGTTAGTGTTGCGTCGTATATATTTAAAACTTATATAAAATCTAACGTACGATTTAGCCGCGGCGAACATTAATTACGGCCCTCCGTGACATAGATTAATGACCAATTTGCGAAAAACTCGAGCCGGCCTCAGCACGTATAGAAAAGGTAGCAGGAACTAATTTTCTCGCCCCGGTTTTCCGACTGATTTCTCTTTTTTTTTATTCCAATTTTATATATTTTTTTAATTTAGTTTGTTAGTTATTTATTTTTTCCAACCATAATACACATGCACTCGTTAATGGCAAATGGAATCCTTTTCCTAATTAGTTTTCTGTCCAGATAAATTGAGCTTTGCGAATGCAATAAAGTTGAAGAAAACGTACATTATAATTAATTATACAACGTATTTTTGCATTTAAACTCGAAAAACCATCATTAGTTGTTTTATTTGAACTTCAGTTATCACAAAGGATGAATTAATAGACATGATTTGTTTTTTATTTCGTTTTTATATTTTGACATATTCAAATATTATTTTTCTCTTCAATTAAAGCTCGAATATTCTTGTTGTTGCAACTTAATTGATATTATTGAAGTCTCGATGAAAAGAAACTTAATACTCTAAATCATCATTTATTCAAGTGCTCTTATTGAAGCTTTTGCATGAACACTCGAAGATAAATCAAAAGATTCATCGATAATTGAGACCACAACTGTACGTTTTTCTTTTCCTCTTTTCGCTCTGTTTTACTTCGACTTGCGAGGAAATAAAATAAAATGTGGAAATGTAGATTTTAGTCATGCATTCGAGATATGCACGTTTTATGGTCGTCTACTTTATGGCCAGGAAGTGGAGGTTTGCCTACCGGTTCTTTTTTTTTATTCTCCTTTCCTTCTTCAACCCTTTTCGTCCTTCCCCTAGAAAGGTTACTCCTGAAGATTTCATCTAGACAAGAACAACAGCGTAACCCTATCGCCTACCAATTAAAATGTAAATTGCGGACGTCGGGTCATTAGCGATGTTTGTGTATTTAAATTACGAATGGCGAGAAACGCGATTGGCCGACAGCGTGGAAATATTGGAAATACTCATTTTTATTTTTTAGTTTATTACCAATTTGCAAGCATCTATTTATTCATTAACACTAATTAAACATAAAATAGACAATTTCAATTTAACATTTCATTTAATTAAACATTGCAACAAAAATAACAATTAATTTATGTTAATTATGTAATTAACACTTTTTTCTACACAAATTGCTATTAAATTTATAATTTTAACTATTCTAATAGTAAATTTTTGATGTTGAACTTTCTTTTAGCCTTTTTTAATATTTTCGATGATCATCACTATTTTTTGTGAAAACGTGAGTATTTGCAATAAATATAAAAATGAAATTTAATTATAGAAAGAGTTTTTACGAAAAAAGTCAATAAATCATAATGATAATGATACAAATATTCAGACTTTTCACGTTGATACATATAAAAACCATTTGATTATAAAATTTTATTAAATTATTAAATAATATTTATCAAGTACAAACAATATATCAATTTTAAATGACTATCAAAAAAAATGTACAAAAAACAAATATTTGTAAAAGAAGCGTTAACATTTGGATTTCATACAAATTTTCAATAAAATAATGTAAATATATATTTTTTAATAAAAGCAATACATATGAAAAAGAACAAACAAACGTGTGTATACTGTTAATGAAAACTTTATTAAATCTGTAAAATGAAAAATGATAGAAATATTGTGGAAATACTAAAAATTCTAATATAATTTTCATAAATTATGAAATTAACTTTAATTTTTTTTAAACTGAAATAGTTTTCAACATGTTCATGATGATTTCATTGATTATTAATGAAACGTTTATAAGATTTTGTAAATCTTGCAGAAGGAATATTTCAAGAAGTATTTATATTACAATGGGATTAGGAATGCTTCGGAGCTGAGGAATGCAATATTTACAGAAGTATTGGTATCGATCGCTCGGAACAATTCGAGTTTCCATAAAAATTTAGCAGGATGCTGGAGGCTCCGTGCAAACGTATCCGTTCATCTCTCATCCCCTAACATTTATTTTTTTTGTTGTTATTGCGAGGATGAGAGATTACGTAAACGTTTATTTGCTCGAGCACACACAGACACACATTTTTTCCCCCTCTGCATTGTTTATTGAGATTACAGGTGTACAGGCCTCATCATTTATGCATTCCGCCGCAGCGCCATCGCTTCTTCTTTTTTTCCCTTTCTGCAGGGAGCGCCACCATCGCGTAAATAATTTTACTCGACAATGATTAATCTTCAGCGTGCAGTGCACACGCACACGTGCTGAATCGGAAGTAGAGATGAAACGAGATAGGATAAGTTTGAGATAGACTCTAGATTCCTAAGCTGGGATAAACGTAAGGTTGTTTAGGGGTACAGAAAAAAGTTAGTTATTATTGTGGAAACAAAAGTTTCCTTGATGTTATGACATTTACATACACCTTTTTTTAAACACTTGACGCAGAATAAGTCTAATTTGACATCGTACATCCTTTTTTTGTAGAGGAGAGGAAATCTTAGCGCACTAAAACCTATCCACTTCTTTATAAGCATGGAGGTCCGTTGTTTGGACATGTTTCTGCAATGCAAATTGTCTGAGCAAGTTCTACGCTTCTATGGATGTCCACTATCACCTTCTTTCTCTCTCCATCCTCTGCTCGTCATTTTCCTTAATGGAAAGCACCCCTGCTACGTAGCTTGTGATGATGTCCAACTTCTCTTGGCTCTTCAGCGTCTCCGGTTCCAGCACTTCTCCGAGATTTGCTTCATCGTCGCCCATCTGCTGCAACCAAAGAACTTGTGTTCTGGGCTATCGTCTTCTTCGCAATACCAGCACTTGTCGTCCTCCTTCCTTGCTATAAAGTGCAGGTACTTGCTGAAGAACCCATGCCCGGAAAGCGCTTGGCTCAGATGGAATGTTTTCTCGCCGTGTTTTCTCGAAATCCAGGATGCTATTTCTGGGATTAAGCTTGAGCTCTCCCATTTTTCCTGCCACTTTTCCAGCAGTCTAGCCATGGCAGTTAACTTATTCACTCCTCTCTGCCTCTCACATCTCGTTCTGGCTAGGAGTTCGATTGATGGCATGCCAGCAATTATTTAAACTGCATCTCGGCAGATTGTTATGTATGCGCTGCAGACTCTTATTGCTTCCCTGCGCTGGACTGTTTCTAAAGTTCTTTTATAACTCTGCACCTTCATCGCTTCTTCCCATACTGGAGCATACTCAGACCACCGTAGTTTTGCCAAGACATTGTACATCCTGTCATCTAACAAAGATCTTGAAAATTATATCATAATACCACAGTTGATAATTTGATTGTTACCTGTATAAAAGATGCTGTTCGATGTTTGCTCGGAGAAGAATACGTGCCTAAAATGAACAATAGAATATCTCGAAAAATTCAGTATATATCTTACGATGTTGAAATAACAATAATAAGTAGAATTAAAAGTAGTAAATTTTTAGCTATTTAAGTAGATACAAGCATAGATGTTACCAATTATGTTAATTTGCTTGACCCATAACAAAACTGAAGAAAACTTATTAATGTCACCCTGTATCCTAAGACAAAATTTAGCATTTAAAAATGAATTGAAACTTGTTCTTTATAAAGCTGTGAAAGAATTTTCAAAGCTTTGTATCAGATGATAAGTCTTCATTCTACGTAGTTCTTTCAAACAAACGTGTGATAAAGTAAATTAAATGTTACCATACTGTTTCAGCTTTCAAGCTTTCATTGTGGAATTCATATATTGAAAATAATCAACCTGAATTATTTGAAACTTTGCACAATTTTTTATCTGACAAACCAACAAATAATTGAATATTTAAAAGGATTGAAATCGGATTAGCTGACTGATGAAAAAAAGTTGGGAATCACTGGAGTAAATTTGGTGTGCAAGGAGATTGTATGCAAATTAAAACTAACCGTTAATTCCGCGATCAATCATACTTACAAGGACTTTTGGTCAAAAAAAAAGAAAGAAATAAATAAACAAACGTTCTTCGATGGTAGACCAAACGTCGCACGTACTTTGCATGCCCTTTGTTCGAGGAGTGATCGCTCATTCCTGCAGCCCAAGGTTGCGTAACTGTGTATGTATATATCGATATACATGTCCTTATACACACACATATATATAAACATGAACCTTCGATAAAAAAACGCGACATTTTTATACTTATGCGTGTCCGAGGCGGGGGTCGCGCGTTCGCGTGTCGCCCGCCCTTCCTTATCGCGTCGCAGCATCGCACACTAAAACCTCAGCCCGTCTTGCGATTTTCACCCTTCGCGTACCTCTCTACATGTTTTTACCTTCAGGTCGGATCCACTTTCGTTATTATCCTTATTATTATTGCTTTTTACTGGAATACAAGCACGGGGACAAATTTCCAACTTTATTGTCTCTCCTTCTATATGTGTGTGTGTGTGTTAAAGGAGGGTTTATTGTCGTTTGGCGAGGGATAAAATGCAGCCGACCAATGTTCCGTCCGCCCAGATCCTAATCGCACGCGATAGACCGTTCCTCTTCCCTCCCACTTCAGGTTTATTCATTTGTTTTTGTGGTTGCGCTATCGGCGTGCACATATCATGCATGCGATAAAAATTGCATTTTACCGAACAAAAGCCCTTTCCGAGGCAAACAAAAAGCACACCCCGTTGGAAATGGAGGAAACATTGCCATTCGGTTCTATCAGTTGCCAATGCCGCACCTCCCTACGTACCTTCAATTATAATCTTTTGCACATTTCGACGAACAAATATCGAACAATACCACAAACTTGATACGTTTTTAAAAAAAATCAATCATTTCTTAACAACAGAATTGTCAAATATCATTGATGATTTATTATTAGTTGATAATATGCTGAAAATTGGACATTTAAGACGAATTTTATGTACTTATTTTTATTCTGCTCAATTTTTAGTTTATTTCGAATTTGTCAAATCGGACTATAGTGAATCCGAAGCTGCACTATTCGAAGTATTGATTGCTGTCTTCATTTTTAATCAAATATTCTGAAAATTTCCACTGAATTTTATTATCAATGTTTATGGTGGATGCGCTGGTAAAAACAGAATTATTCTAATCAAAGTTCTCTAATTTTATTGAAAAAACTAATTTTATGTACTTGTTTTTATTCTGCTCAATTTTTAGTTTATTTAGAATTTTTCAAATCGGACTATAGTGAATCCGGACTGATCGAAGCTGCATTATTCGAAGTATAACTGTCTTCATTTTTAATCAAATATTCTGAAAATTTCCACTGAATTTTATTATCAATGTTTATGGTGGATGAGCTGGTAAAAACATAGAATTATTCTATTCAAAGTTCTCTAATTTTATTGAAAAGACGAATTTTATATACTTACTTTAAGAATCTATTTATATTTTACTTAATTAAAATTCAGTTTGTTTCGATTTTTTAAAGTGGACTATAGAGAATCCGGACTGATGGAAACCGTATTTCCAATGGAATTCAAATTGAATTAAAGTTAAATTATTAAATTAGTTTTAAATTTAATTAGAAATATTTCTAAGATTATTGACAATTATTTTGTTTCAAGAAGAAAATTGCTGAATATTTTGAATTTCTGTGTTGAAAATCGTGTTGTCTATGAAATTCTGCGCGATTTTGTTACTGTCGCCTTTTGTCAAGTAAACCGTTACGCAGATAATGCAAAACAGTAAGTAAGAAACAAAAATATTACTGATTTGATTATTGACTGATCTAAAGATACAAATATCAATTAATATATTTGAAAATGTATTAAATAACAGACAAGAAAACTTTTTTATTTTGGAATATGCATAATTAATGTTATTGCTTGATCAATGTACAAGTGGAATTCATCATTATTTATATAAGTAGTTGTTTGTTGATCAACTTTTGTATATAAAATAGGTAATTTGTTACAAATAATTCATATTTACAATGAAATTCATAAACTAAGTAGCTTTTATTTTGATCATTAAGTGTATTTAATTACAAATCAGTATAGTTTAATAAATATATAGTTTTTTTTGTAGTTTTTATAATATCTTTATAAATTTACATAATCAATATTTAAATTCATCAATTCTATCATTGTTATTATATAATGATTTTAATAAGATTACTTTCATTTTATAAATCCAATAATATTTAAAAAAATCATCAAAAAGTAATACAAATGAAGCAAATCACAAAGGAATGAAAATTGCATTGCATTAAATGAATGGTAATTGGCCGGCGCGTTTCTAATTTGAGACGATAAACTTCGGACCATTCTCAAAGCCCTCCTGATTCCAATGTCGTTTGTTGGGCTCAAATTGTTTAATTCGCAACCCTCGAGTGTTGCAACCCTTTTCGAGTATCACTATTGCAGTCTCTCATTCTTTGCTGAAAACCATTTGCACCTTTCATCCAACGTTAAACTATTTACAAAAAAATCTCAACGAAATTTTCACAGTTAATTGTTGCAAAGTTAAATTTCAAATTAACGTAATTAAAATTTAATTTCGAATTTCACTTTTAAAAATATTCTTAGAGAGAAATTCAAGATTTCACTGATGATTTCAACCATATTTCAATAAAAGTATAGAGACAAATTATTAATTAAAAAAAAAACTAAAATTATAACGATTCATTTTAAAAGTTAATTGATAAAAAAGCTCAAAGTTTGTCATCATTATTGCTATAATAATTAGCATTATTATTGCGTATTTTACTGTATTACATTAAGTTTGTTGTTGTTGTTGAAAAAATTATATAAATATTTACGTGAGTGCTAATGGAGAGAAACAAACACACGTTTTTCAGCTCTTTTGTGCGTCGCTGCTTTCATGGGAAATCCCACTATTATTTCGTGTATGCAATTGGAAATTTCCATTCATTCGCTCTGCGGTGAAATTAATTACTTGTTTGTCATTATATATATACGTGCATTTATTTTACTGGTCTTTTTTGTTACTCCAAAATCATAGGAATCAAAAACCATCAGCATTGATTTGGAAGCATATTCAAAAGAGATTACCTTTACAATTTTGTCTATATTTGTCAAAAAACTGTATTGAACAACCTATGAAATATCAATACTATATAGTTGGAATTTTGTGTTTAATAGCGTTAATGAAATGGACAAATCTGTGTTGGTTGTAAAAATTAATAATTTGCTCAATGTTTATTTAATAGTCGGGTCATTTTGGCGTAGTAATGAGTTAAAAACGATATGGGTTATAAGTGCAAAGTAAATTGTGTTTTACTATTTGGGAAATAAATCAATGCTTGAGTAATAATTATACAAGCATTTGTTGTCGTGTCACGCACGTCGCAGGTTGTTCGGAAGGATAAATTGCATTAGAACTTGAAGGAAATAGATTTGATTCGCGAAAATTCGTACGTGATTCCACAAATAACAACAACAACAATCACAATACGAATAGTTTTTTTATCCAAAAAGTTCGGATATCCACGTCAAGTGAAAACATCGATCCGTTTTCCCAACGTCACGTCTCTTCTTCGGTGGTATCTGGCTTCGAAGGTGATTTTATTAAGGAACACTTTTGTAAATTAAAGGTATCTTATCTAATTATCTTGTTGCTCTGATAAATGGTGATCGTTTGAAGTGGGAGAGCCACAGTATTAAGCATGGTATTGCGTGCAATGCAGAGGCGGATCCGGCCCAAAAAGAAAAAAAAGTAGAAGGAAAGAAAGAAAAGATAAATAGCGGATTCTTACCGAAACTCCCATCTAACGCCGTTGGGTCAAGTCTAGTTTATTTTTATTTTTTTTTATCTATTTCGTTGCTGTTGTTCTTTCCTCTCGCTTTCGCTCTCGTGAATTTAAGTTGATACAGGCACTTAATTTAAATGCGCCCGTTATCTTTTTACACCGTTGCATGCCGTACACCATTTCCTCATTTATTATTGTAACCACCTATGCTAGTAGTAGCCACTAGAAAGATAGATACATGTGTGTATACCTATATGAATGCACACGGGAGTTGCGCGGTTTTATTACCTAACAATTCCCATTTGCCAGTGTTCTCTGCATACAAAACTTTTCCTCTTTTCTTCTCTCTCTCTGCTCTTTTTTGCAG